AGGTGGGCACAGAGGGGGGGACACAGGAGGGACACGGGAGGGGGGGGACAGCAAGGTGACCCCAGGACAGGGACCCCAAGGACAAATGGGGACACTGGGGGGGACATGGGGGGACATGGGGGGGGACATGGGATGGGATGGGGACACTGAGGGGGGGACGAGGGACAGGTTGGGGACATTCAAGGGCCTGGTGGTGACATGGGACGGGCTGGGGACATCGGGGAGGGGTTGGGGACATCGGGGAGGGGTTGGGGACATTGGGGGGGAGGGACACCTTCCCCTCGGGGACGGGGGGGCACAGCTGGCCGGATGTCCCTGTCCCCGGGGAGCCACCGAGGTGGAGCGGGGACAGGGACCCGCTGGGAGGGGACGGGGACATCGGGAGGGGGCACAGGGACATGGGGAGGGGTTGGGGACGTGTGACGCAAGTGGTGACACCGCTGAGGCTGAGCCACGTCCGTGGGGGTCACCACGGCCCCTCTGGGTCCCCTCTGGGTCCCCTCTGGGTCCCTGTGTCCCCTGTCCCCATCTGTGTGTCCCCATGTCCCCCTCCCCATCTCTATGTCCCCTGTCCCCATCTCTGTGTCCCCATGTCCCCACTCCACACTCCTGGTGGTGTCCCCGTGACCCCATCCCGTGTCCCCGTGTCCCTGGGGGTGGCCGTGTCCCCTGGGATGGTGTCCCTGTCTCTGATGGTGTCCCCGTGGGTGACGATGTCCTGGTGTCCCTGTGTCCAATGGTGTCCCCAAGGCTGTTGGTGTCCCTGAGTCCCGGTGTCCCTGTGTCCGACGGTGTCCCCAGGAGTGACGGTGTCCCCACGGGTGACCCTGTCCCCACTGTCCCCGTGTCCAGCAGTGTCCCCCTGCCCTGGTGTCCCCAAGGTGTCCCTGCCATGGCATTCGGGGCAGTGCTGGCACAGGTGGGACCCTGGGCCGGTTCCAGGTGCCACAGACGGCCCTGTCCCCATGGGTGACACCGTCCCCTTGTCCCGCAGTGTCCCTGTGTCCTGGTGTCCCCAAGGTGTCCCCGCCATGGCGTTTGGGGCGGTGCTGGCACAGGTGGGGGCCCTGGGCCGGTTCCAGGTGCTGCAGACGGCCCTGCTGTCCGTGCCCATCCTGCTCATGGCGAGCCACAACCTGCTGCAGAACTTCACGGCCGCCGTCCCCCCGCACCGCTGCCGCCTCCCTGGGGCCACCCCCGACGGCAACTCGGGGGACTCCGGCACCTCGGGGTCACCCGATGCCACCCCGGGGTCCCCCGGTGCCACCCGTGTGACCCTCGATGCCACCCCGGGGCTCCCCGATGCCACCCCGAGGTCCCCCGGTGGCCCCCGTGTCCAGCCCGGTGACGCCTCCAACGGCACCCTGGGGCCCGCGGGTGCCATGCTGGGGTGGCCCAACGTCACCCTGGGGTCCCTCGATGCCACCCTGGGGTCCTGCCAGCGCTACGTGGCCCCCGCCAACGGCAGCGGCGGCCCCCGGGCCACGGAGCCCTGTCACGACGGGTGGGAGTACGACCGCAGCGTCTACGTGGCCACCATCGTCACCGAGGTGGGCTTGGGGATGGGGGGACAGGGAGGAGGGGAGAGGGGACCGTGGGGAGGGGGGACAACATCTCCATGGGGATGGGGGGAGGGGGGTCTTTAGGGGTGATGTGGGGTGGAGGGAGGGAGGGAAGGAGGGAGGGGTGATGGGATGGTGGGAGGGATGGATGTTGGGATGCTGGGATGGAGGGATGGATGGATGGATGGATTTTGGGATGGATGGATGGATGTTGGGATGTTGGGATGGATGAAGGATGGATGGGTGGATGTTGGGATGGACGGACGGGTGGATGGATGGGTGGATGGATGGAAGGGATGGATGTTGGGATGTTGGGATGGGTGGATGGATGTTGGGATGGGTGGATGTCGCCCTCACCTGCCCTGTCCCCGCAGTGGGACCTGGTGTGTGGCTACCGGCAGCTGCGGCAGATGGCCCAGTCCATCTACATGGCCGGGGTCCTGGTGGGCGCCCTGGTCCTGGGGGGCCTCTCGGACAGGTAAGGGCAGCACAGCCCCCCCGGCCTCCGTGTCCCCAGACAGACCATCACCAGTGTCACCAGTGTCACCAGTGTCCCCCAGTGTCACCCACTGTCACCCAGTGTCTCCCAGTGTCTCCCAGTGCCACCCGGTGTCCCCGTTGCAGGTTTGGGCGCAAGGCCATGTTGATGTGGTCCTACCTGCAGCTGGGGGTGATGGGGACGTGCACGGCCTTCGCCCCCAACTACGCGTCCTACTGCGTGTTCCGCTTCGCCGGCGGGATGGCCCTGTCCGGCTTCGGCCTCAGCATCGCCTGCCTCGGTGAGGGACACGGTGGCTGGGGAGGGGACAGCCCCATGACCAGGGCGGGGGACGGCCTGGTGGCTCTTGAGGAGGGCAACCCCATGGCTGTGGAGGGGGTCAACCCAGTGGTCATGGGTAGGGATGTCCCAATGGCCATGGATGGGGACAACCCAACGGTCATGGGTGGGGACAACCCAATGGTCATGGGTAGGGATGTCCCAATGGCCATGGATGGGGTCAACCCAGTGGTCATGGATGGGGTCAACCCAACAGTCATGGATGGGGTCATCACCATGGCCATGGAGAGGGAATTCCCAGGTCTGGCCGTGACGGGGCGGCCGCATCACCGGGGAGGGTCAGGGAGCTGGGTGGGGACACCCCGAGTGAGTCGCGTCCCCCCGGTCCCCCGCAGTGGTGGAGTGGATCCCCACGCCCTACCGTGCCATCACCGTGGCCATCACCGGCTTCGCCTACACCCTGGGCCAGATCATCCTGGCCGGCGTGGCCTACGCCGTCCCCCACTGGCGCTGGCTCCAGCTCGCCGTGTCCCTGCCCTTCTTCGTCTTCCTCCTCTACTCCTGGTAGGACGTCGGGGTCCCCCAGGGGGGAACCATGGGCAGGGGGGACACCCCGCGGGGTGCCCCCCGCGCCTCAGTGTCCCCCGGCGCGGCGCAGGTGGCTGGCGGAGTCGGCGCGGTGGCTCGTGCTCTCGGGCAGGGCCGAGCGGGCCGTGAAGGTCCTGCGGCGCGTGGCCGCCGTCAACGGCAGGAAGGAGGAGGGCGAGAAGATCACGGTGGAGGTGAGGTGGCCCCCTCAGGGGTGGGGGTGGTCTCCAGCCCCCCCCCCCCCCCCCC